GAGTTTTTCATTCGACTGTGCGAAGAAGAGTGAAAAGGGAAAACCTAAAAGACGCCCAGTAACAAAGAGCTGGGGTAGTGAGGAGTGTTTGCCTCTGGGGGATTGAAGATGGGCTAAAGATCCGTGTAAGTCTACTCTCTGGTAAAGTGGGAGAAGTTTCGTTTCCCTTAAGGTTAATGGCTCAGTGGCAGGACTGAAGGGGCAGAGCCCGGGGAGGGGGAGGCATTAATAAATGTGAAATTCAAAGAAAAGTCTGTCATCTGTCTCTGGCTAGTGAGATGCTATTCAGTCAGACAACCTTCTTGCTTCAGTTTTGTTCCTGTGAAGAGAATGTCTTTTTCCATCCCATCTTACTGTTTTGCCACAGTAAAGTAATACAAACAAGCAGCGTCTATATGTTTTGTGGGGCAATTGGCATCTACAGAGGAAATTCCTAGTCAAAGTGTTTCATGGAGAACCTCGGGCTTTCATTAGCTCTGTTGAAAAAGAGAAGTGATTAAAGATAGTGCCATTCACCCATTTCCTCTCTGAGATAAGTTTGTGCTTCATCCTGGTTTTCCCTTAGCTGTGGTGCTGGGTTATTTTTAAATGGCAACATTATTTCTCTTGGGCTGAATTCTGGGCTTGGAGGAGCGGATAGGGCAAAGGCAATTCAAGCCATTATATGAACATCAAGAAAGTAGGAAGCCCCGTGGAAACCACCTTTTTTTTCTTTTCTCTTTTTGGTTATTTTAGGAAACAGACACGGCCTGTTGGTCCCAAGCAGTACAACAGACCAAGAGCTTCAACATATCCGCAATAGTCTTCCAGATTCTGTACGAATTCAACGAGTAGAAGAGCGTATCTCAGCACTGGGCAATGTCAATTCCTGCAATGACTATGTAGCTCTTGTTCACCCAGATCTTGACAGGGTATATGGCTCTATAACGCTTTTAAATTCATAGTGGATGCATGTGAAATGATTGCCAAGCTGCAGTTCGGGTTTGTAGTTGCTGAGGATTGCTGTATGTAGCATGGGGATCAGAAGACCTATGCTAACCCCTGAGCTAATGTCACATAGGAGGCTGTGCTGCCTGATGTTTCCTTTCTTCTCAAGAGACAAGTCTCAAAATTGGATTTTGGACTTCTGACTTGGTTTCGGTTGATGGATGTGGACCTTGCCCCAAGTATAGTGTGTGCCCTCTCTTTCAGAGTGCTGTAGTGAATGCCCTTTGTAGAAGGGAAGGAGTGGGATATGGAAGTATATTCCTGGGTGCAATTTGCTTTGCGTGTGTAAAATTGAATGAATAAAAGAGAGCGTGCATGTGTATAATAAAGAGAGCATAAAGAAGAGTTTAGTTGGGACTACCACAGTAGTTACAAGCTACTGCTGAGCTAGCTAAAATTTGTAATAGTTGAAAGAGGCCATGGATGTGGTGGTGTGCACGTGTACAGAGGGGTGAAACTAAAATGGAAGGTTCTTGTATGGAAGTTTAAAAGAAGGACAGAGGAGTCAAAGTTGCTGCTACTTTATGTTTGAGAACTTATATCTTCATAGCATTAGAGAGAGATGTGTTGTGTGGCTACACGTAGTGAAGGTCCTTACAGTGTTTGCTTTCAGTTTGTGCTAAAGGTGGTGAAGAAATGGGACTTGGTGTTAAAAGTTCAAAGGAAAAGAAAAAAGGAGGGGAGGAGGTAATGGTCTTTGCAGCATATTATGTTTTAAATATGTGTAAAAAGTAAGATGATCAGAGAGGGAGAAACCAAAATAATTCGCAGTGAAAACCTGGAGGGGAAGGAAGTTCTTAGAGTTATACTAAAGGATAAGAAATTTGTCCCAGTGGTCTGGGACAAAAGGGGACTGATTCACAGGGAATGCCCAGAGAACAGGTATTGACACAACTGATCTACTGCCAGCATCCTCCAGAAAGAGAGGAGAAGAGCATTTCTCAGTAAAGGCGCAGTGTTGTGTTTAGTTATACTGGCCCAGCTGCGTATGGACAGGTAACTGGAAATGTCTGGAGTATAGAGGTTGAGTAAGCATTTTATTGTGATTGGATTGCAATGGATTGTGAAAGCACGGGCAGGCTTTCAAAGGGGAGGATCCTGGCTGATGATTGCGTGCAGGAATAGCTTGATGTCAAATTCTATGATGCTGTTTTGCTGAGGACTTTATTCTCTCTCTCTGTTTGCAGGAGACAGAAGAGATCTTGGCAGATGTACTGAAGGTTGAGGTTTTCAGACAAACGGTAGCAGATCAGGTGCTGGTAGGAAGTTACTGTGTTTTTAGTAACCAAGGAGGAATTGTGCACCCCAAAACTTCAATTGATGATCAGGATGAACTGTCTTCGTTGCTCCAGGTCCCACTTGTGGTAAGACATTTGTGGGTTTGTGTTTTCTCTTGCTACTTTCTTCCAACCCAGTTCTCAGTTTTAATGTTTCTACATCTCGTGGGCTCCCAGATACTGTTTTCTCTGCAGAGCCGTTCCAAGTGGAAGATGAGGAGAAGACTTGAATGGGGCAAGTCTTCTGAGACATTTTCCCTGTCTTTTCTGAGTCTGAATAAGCTGCTTAGCACCTTTAGTTTACTTCTGAAACATTGCTCTGCTGGGATTATGCAAGTTGTGCTGATTGATTCATACAGAATGTGAGATTGTCTGTGGTTTAGCCAGAGGCAGTGTTTAAAAAAATTAAGTAGTAAAATCCTGTGCCAGCTCAATCGGATTTGTGAATTTCAGGATTGCTGTGCCTTTATGCTTCCTACTTGTTAGATTTTATTTCACTGAATGTCACATGATTTTCTCTCCAGAGATTAAAGGTTGTCCATGAATCTTTTTATCTGAAATCTTTATAACTTTGTTGATGGCAGAAGCTTTAATCTTTTCAGGAGTTTGACTTGAGGCCCTCCACTAAACACTTGTAATAAGAATGTGTAACGAAATGCGTTACTCTTAGCGTATCCTGTTAACTTTTCGCGCTATGTTTCTGCTAGGCTGGAACGGTGAATCGTGGCAGCGAGGTCATTGCAGCAGAAAAAATAAATGACTGGTGTGCCTTCTGTGGGCTGGATACAACCAGCACTGAGCTCTCTGTCATCGAGAGTATCTTCAGGCTGAATGAAGCTCAGCCAAGTACCATTGCTACCAAAATGAGAGATTCTTTGGTTGACAGGTAAGGAGGATCCAGGTCTGTGTATAATCATGATCAAAACAGGCAAGATTTTACTATAAAACTAGCTGTTTTCACAATTGATTTATTTATTTTATTATTTTATTTCTCTTTCCTTTTGTTGGGTTACTGACAACAATGACCTCATTGCAGAAGGGTTTGTTTCCTTGTAGCTGAGGAGCCTGCTTAGTCCTGTATGGAAAGTGTAAGGGTTTTTGTTGCAGTTGTAATACTTTTTGTGCAAAATAGTATCCATTTCAACTTTCAGATACTTTTTTTTTTCCTAGCTGCTCAGTGCTTAGCTGTGACATGAATGGACTTTTTTAAACAAATCTTGGTTTAAAACTTTAAGTGCCAGTGACTTTGCTTGACATCTTGGCTTTTGATTGTTGTAACCCATAAAATTATTATTTCAAATGCATGCTACAACAATTTCTGGAGCCAGAAAGATGTTGGAGCTTGTCTGCTGCTGCCTTAAATGTTTTTAATTTAAGGTTGCTGCCTTAATTTTTTCTAAACCTTTTTGTCAAAGGCTTTGTCCAAGTTATCTTTTAATGGAACGCAGGTTTTCTTTTTTTCTGCCTGGAGTGGTAGTGATATAGGACCTTCCCCATTCATTAATGTATGCAAATTTTTTTACAAGGTTTAGGTGTACATATAGATGAATGTCCTATGCAAACTTCATTTGGGCTTTCATGTGATTACAACTCCTACAATCATTGCTGTGGTGCTAGAGGTGTTCTTGAGCTCCTTAGGCCATTGTATCTTGGTATCCAGGTTCTCAGTTATCATAAGAATGTATGGGAATCGTTTATGGCATAAGGAAAGAACAAGGAATTCCTTGAATGAAGAACCCTTTGAAAGAGTTCTTTGCTGCCCCTTTACAGTTTCTGAATAAAGGCTTGATGTCTCTGAGCATAACAGCCATAATTAAACTTGCTCTGAGCTTTTGGTAACTACCTAGACCAGGCTGAGTGTACACTTTGCCTTTGCCAGCTTGACAAGCCTGTTCTTATGGCTGGCTGTTAGCAGCTGCTAGGTCTGCTTCTCTCTTTTCATAGACCCTTATGGATCCTAGGAAGGAAAATTTCTACTGGGCCTTTGTAATTGGAAGTTGAGAACTGACTGTACTGGTGTTTTGAAATGCCTTCTGCACACTCTGGCACCCATCTGCTAAATCTCTTTTCTGTTTTGTCTTTTTAGCTTGACATAAGCAGTGTTGGTTCCTGCTTTCCAGAAAGCTCCTAAGTAGGAGTCGAGTGTCAAGCTGCACTTTGGATTACAGACATCTAGACCTTCTGATGTTGTTCCTGCACGCCTAGCCCGAGGAAGAGGCTACAAAACCAACTTTTTGTAGTGTTTTGTAACCTAAGCATTATTACAAAACCTGACAAATAACATACATAAGTAACAAATAAGGAATGCTCTCTCTCCCTTTGCTGATGTTTTCCAGTACTTCATCTGTGCTTTCTCTTTTTGTGATGGTGACGGAGTCCCTCAAATTAGCCCACAATATTTACTCTTGTGGCTCTTGGATATTGATCACTAGAGATTATTTTGCCTTAAATAACGCATCACTGTTCTGCTGCAGAGCAGTCTGTTTCAGCATGTACACAGCACTGCCCTCTCTTTTCACACTTTTGCTAAAGAGTGGTGTTTTTGCTGTAGGTAGACTTAAGAGCCCCTTGTATGTGCAATACCAAAAGTATAGTAGCTTACTTGCCACAAATAATTCAGAAGTCATCACCTGCTCTCTTGCCCTGACTTGCAGCTCTTCCCACAGGACTATTGATTCTGAAGTGATCAGCTCTGATTAAAACTGGAGTTTCTCAAAGTCAGTCCAGGGGCTTCTGTGAGCAACAACGTGTGACTGCCTGTGGAAGAGTGGTATCTGATCTGTTCTCTGCAGATGCCCAGTGGCATGTGTGCTGCTTCTGAGGCAGCTGCAAGAGTGAGCCTAGAAAAGCATGCTATTACCAGTGGGCTTAAATTTGTTCTACAGGAGTTAGCCACTTATGCTGGGAAACTCCTTAAAAATCAGCAAATCAAAAAAGGTTTAAACCACCTCATCTTGAGTTATCTTAGAGACAAAGGTTAAGTACAGAACAGTTAACTGTTCTAACCAGTTACTCCATTCATTGAGATGTTAGAGATTTGGGAGCTTGCTAATTAAGAGCTGCCCTTGTGAGGGAGTAATGACAATGAAAAGGACCTGTAGATACTGCTTTCAGGTAGAAGATAGAAATATGATTCTAAACAGAGCTGTTGCTCACCGATCTATCATTTCAGTTGCTTTTCTTCTGCTTGCCCATTAAAGGTGTACGGAAGGCATAGAAATGCTGCCACTTCCCATCCTAAGGATATGTGGAAGCTCCTCGCTTGCTTCTGCACAGCCGCATTACTCTCAGCTGGATTCTCCTGAGGAGTGCCCTCCTGATGGCAGGGTGGGCAGAGCTTTCTTGGCCCTGGTGCTTCAGGCTTTGTAGAAAATTAAGCAAAGTTCAATTTTGTTGTACTGTCTGGATATTTAGGGAAAGTTTTGCTTGATTAAAAGCAAATCAAGCTTGCTCCTTATACTTTCAAGATTGCCATAGGAGCTTCTCTGATCATAGCAGCCCTACCATCCGGTCTGTCTACAATTGTAACTGAGCCTGGGGTTGCCATTTCCAGACAGCTCAACTTCCTTCTGCCACTGGGGAAGCCTGTAAGCAGCTCGTGGCTCTTTGCTATTACAGCTATCCATTTTTGGTGTTTATGGCCCATTTGATATAGTGGACTACCTTTCTTGGCACTGACTCCAAGTATCCTCCACTTAGCATATCAATATTGAGAATGAGAAGCTGCTTTCCTTTGGCCACCTCGCAGGACTCTGTTCTTGGGTATAAATGGCAAAGTGTCTGACTATTGCTATTTGGGTTAGTGTGTATTCGTCAAGTGTAAAACGAGTAAGGCTGAAGTTTCCCTTTCCAACTTCTGTAACTTGTTTTTTTCATTCCAGTTGATAGGCAGAAATCTGGTTTATATTGGTGATCTTGATGTGTGTTACATGTTAAAAATCACTTTGAGGTAGACAAGGAAAAAAAACCAATCTCTGTGTAATCCCAATCCTTAAATAGGAAAGATCCTGGTACAGTGTTGATATGCCAAAGAGGATTAGAGACAGACAGCAGAATAGGGTATTGCTAATTGTGGTGTATGACCTCTTACAAAAGTTGCATTGAAGCTTGGGAACTGGAAGGTGGCAAATTCTAAACAAGGGTTTGTGGGAATTTTGAACTAGTAAGATGGACCTATGTACAAGGAAAACAAACTATAATAAAGAATGAAATTAGTAGAAACATGGATACATGATATCATGAGCGAGTATAAACTTGGTGTTTTAATGGCAAGTCATGTCTTACAAGACCTGTGGAGCTCTTTAAAGGAGTCCACAGGGATACAGAGAAGGTCTGTTGTAACGTTACTTGTATTTCTGAAAGGCATTTGGCAGGTTTTTGTGCCAAAGGCTTTAAAGGACCCTGGGTGAGTGATCACATGGAATGAGAGGGCAGCCCTTTTACATGCTTGAGGATGGGGGAAAAAGTCAGAATAAATGGTTAGATTTTCCAGGAGATTCACTGGGAGCTCCGCTGGGAGCCACGATGTTCAGCGTTACTGTGTCCCGATTAGGAAAGGCAGTGGATTAGTGCAGGGAAGTTTGCCCATACTGACTTATTCTGGCTGGTGAGGATGAGGACTGACTGATGGGTTGATAGAAAGGTAAATTCAGTGCAGCTGAACTTGAGGTGAAGCATGTTGTGGTTAAGAATCCAAATTTCACACCTGTAGTGGTGAACTCTGAGCAACACAAGAGCAAATTCTTGGCCTGAAGGTTTGTATTTGAACAAAGACATGTGCTCAGCCTTCAGTAACAGTCAAAAAAGCCAATGATGTTTGGAGTTGATAAGGAAAAGAAAGCCCAAACAAAGTATGATTATCTGTAAATCCATGATGTGTCTTTATCTTGAGTACTATGTGTAGATTCGGTGCAAGTGTTGCATAGTGGTTGCCAAGCTTTTCTGCAAATGAGTATTTTTGGGTAATGCTCATCTACTTTGTTGTTCATTAAATTTTGGTTCTTCTGTAAACTAAAAACTCCAGAAGAAGCCAGGGGAAAGGAGGAGTGAGATTCTCCTGCTATTGCCAATTACTTCCCATGAGAACCTGCCTAGCAGTGTCAGAGCTTGCGGGTGCAGGGCCACAAGGATGAGAGCGTGAGAACAACAGTGTGAAACGGTATGGGAGAAATGACAGCTCAGGGGAAGAATGGCAGAATGGCAGAATTACAAGTGGCATTACACAGCTTGAGGCACTTAAAGCACTGCGCAACACTTAAAGCACATAAAAAGGGTCGGTCATCTCAAGGGTGGCACTCTCCAGTAAAAATGCCAAAAGGTGTTAAGGAATAGTCAATAAAATCAAGTTGTACTTCCCCAGTGCTGGGTATTGCTACTGCAGGTTCTCAGGATTCTTAAAAATTAAATTGCTGAACTATGAAGCTGTGGGTTACATATCATGGCTGTATCCCACCTTTGCTATCAGGCAGTGGAAGGCAACGTGTGACTTCAGGTATTATGAAGGGTGGCAGGAATGATCTGAGGAACTATAGCTGATTCCAGTTGTGCTGGGCAAGTAAGTCTGATACTATGAGAAAGGTTGGAATCAAGCCCCAGGATGAATGTGACGGGATGGAGAAGAGTTGTCCAGAAGTTTTGAGGGAGGAATGAAAGTCTCAACTCCAGGTTCAGTGAAGAAGTCATAGGGTGTGTAGCTTTTGCTGCCATAGTGTGCTTTAATGTCCAAAAACTTTTGTTTTTCCTTCACAGAGGTTTTTAAAAACCTCAGTCCTCATGGTGTGAGATAGGAGATCCCATTGAGGTTTAATGACTAATTATAAGTTAGGAACAAATAATCCCTCTTACAGTGGAGGACTACCTCTGTTCTGACTGTAGTGATTGTGTATCCCAGCCCATTTCTAACTTACCTGGAAAAATAAGCCGACTTTACTGGTGATGAAATCATTCAAAGTAGTCAAAAACTGGGGAAAAAAAATGTAGAATGTTAAGTACAGTGTAGGGTATGGAGTGGGCTGCTGGCTGGAGGGGCTGCAACTGCTGCGCCCAAGGTAAACATGTGCCAGGACTCCTCTCTGGCTGCACAAATGGCCCGTACCGCAGGCTGGTGTGTATCGTGCCAGGAGCACACCTAGATGAGCCTCTTGCTTGTGGGATTAGAGTTGAGTAAGCACTGCTGTTCCCTGCTCCCCTGTGGTGACAACATGTCCTCGTGCTGCATTTCTGGACAGGAACTGGAACGTGGCCACCTGTCTACAGAGATGCTTTAGCCATGCTGATGGGAGGCAGACCGAGCTGATATTCTGCTGATCAGGTGCAGTGTTTCTGTAGCATAATACAGGATCCCAGCAAAGAGTTTGGGTGTGGGAATATTAAGGAACTATCCCTTACACAAATACTGATGTTTGTGCCCGGATCCAGGTCACCCCAGGACTGCACAGGTGCTAATCTTAACAAAAGAGAGATGACAGTGGTGTGAATGGGATTATACTTGGGGGAAGTGGGTCAACTGCTCACCTACCTGTCCCAGCCCTCCCCAGTGCCAACACCTGTAACCATAGAGGGCTATTTCTCACCCCCTTAAACACCTACACAAATACCTCACACCCCTCGAAAGCCCAAGTACATAGTATCTGCACCAGGAGCCAGTTACGAAGCAGTTAGAAAAGGCACCAAACTACTTCTGTGGTTCTTTGAAGCAGCAGTTCTTCGAGGAAGGCTGAATTTTGGCAATATATAGGGCAGGCGGCTTGCCTTATTGCAGTGAGGTGCCTGCCACCGCAAGGCAATAGGCAGCGGTCTGAGGAAACAGCTCAGCTTGCTACAGACCCAGGCATTGTGCTGCCTGTACAGCTCGTTACTCAGTGCAGGGTTTTGAACAGACCAAAACTCCATGTTTGCGCAGGAGGAAAAAAATACAAACAAAAGCAGACATTTCTCTAGGTTGTAAATTTTTTTTTTTTTTTTTAATGATGGCTGTTGGAAGTTGCTCAAAGGTTTGGGCTGTCACAGTTCCAGAAGAGATGGCAGCGTACAGATGAGTTCAATGTGCCATGTGGCTGTGGCATTTATAGTGTGCATTCTACCACATACATAGTAC